ACGAGATATTTATGTAGGAAATGTTTTGCGAGGATGCGTTAACTATGCGGAATCCCCCGGAATCCATGAATACTCGCGGCCTACATATGTACATATATTTGGAAGGTTGGATCAATAGGCTGCAGGAGTCAAGTCAGTTAGTCACTAGCTTACGGCTTACATGTATGGCTTTGTCGGTACAAAAGAGCTGCTAAAGAAGTTGGGAGCTTAGTTGGTGACTAAAGAAAATAAGCCAAGTATTTCGAAGAAGAAAATAATAAAACATTTTATTACTATTATTTTCTCAAAAATTAGGAAATAAACTAAAATATTGTAGTATTTATTTTCCTTTGAATTTCTTCGTAGGGATTTTTCACATATTTCTCATTATTATTTTCTCCAATAATTTCCGAATAACTTTTCTAACCAACCTCTTGCGATTCTACGCAGAAAATGTCCTAACTGCTGGGCTCTGCATAAACATATTTATGAATTTTCTATTCTGCATTGCGTTTTTGATTGTCATAAGTACGAATATGAATGGGAAATGGGTTGGGGGTTGGGGGTGGCGGAATACGAAGACTTGAGACTCATTTGCATTAGGCCTGGGAACGGAATCGCGATGAAGATGGGGAATGGATGGCTGGGCTGATTAACATAAAATTAAGCGTTTGAAAGGCATGCGGCAAATGGGGTTTCGGAATCCCGGGGAATATCGGAGGGGATAGGAATTGGGATAGGGATAGGGAATGCCAAACCGAATCGGAGTTGTAGTGCTGGGCGCCGGCTGATAAGCCGAGTCGCGGCGATAAGCGCATTTAATTAGCATTAATTAAAGCGAATTGCGAGACTCGGGTGGCAGTACCAAACTAGCGGCAGCAAGTAAACACAAAAAAAGGGGGGCAGAAGTGCCAGAGAGTTGTGAAAGTGAGGCAATGGCAATGGCAATGCCAATGGAAATGGAAATGGCAATTGTGCTCGGCAATCAATGGTTTTTGGAGCACGGCACGCGGCATGACAAATTGCAAATCGCTTTGGCTTGGCCTCCATCTGTCTCTTCGTCTTCATCTTCATCGCCCTCAAGAAGCGGATGCTGAGATGCTGGGCTGCTGGGATGCCGGAGCTTATGGTCTCAAGTCTTCGACACACGGTAACGTCAGGTGTCATAGCAACAGGGCACAGTGGGACAGGAGTGGTGGAAAAGGTCTAAGAACTCCAGGGACTGTGTTAAGATTTTTATAAATATTTACTTAAAGTTAACTTCTTCTTTAAAGGATATATTTTATATAAAGTAAATAAAACTGACAGGTGAACAAAAATTTAGATAGCAATTATTACAAAAAAACTCTTTTATTGTGAAACCATTATCTTTCGATCAGCATTTTCTACAGAAATTGCTATAATATACAAAATCTAAAATACCTGGTAAAATATACCTTACATATATCTACATCTTTTTAGTTTAGAATGTGAATGTTATATTTAAAGAATATTACTAAAACACCTGCAAGATCAGGTGGTTTTCGGTTTTTAACCCATCGCGAACCACTGTGCCTCTGTGGGAGAATGAAAGACAGCGAGAAGAAAGCGGATTGCGTAATACCTGCGTCATGACATAAACTCGGAGGCCTCGCCGATGAATGAGCGCGGAGCAAGAGAAAGAAGGGGGTGAAGGGGAAGAAAGAGGGGGAAGACTGGACCCGCATAATTGTGCGGCTACACTTGAAGCCGAGCTAAGGGCTCTCTCTCCGTCTGAGAAACTGAAACCGAAACCGAAACGGAGGCCAAAATGTGGGCGAGGCCTAGGCGCAGCAGCTTAAAAAATAAAACAACAGCAGCATCAGTCGCGCTGAGCAACACCTCATGACATTGGAATGCAATTTCACTTCTTTAAATATTTTCCCAATTGTTTTTTGCTTTTTGTGCGTGCCTCTGGCTCTGCGTCTCGGATCTGGGTTGAGGATCAGGTTGCATGTGCTAATTATCGCAATTAAAATTGTTGTTCGAAATAAATTAATTTTAATTTTACCCTTTATAAATATTCCCCTTGAAGATGGATTAAATTGTCAAGGAAATTGACGGCCCAAAAGTTGGGTTAATGCAAAACCCGACAGCCCGACGATTGTTTCAACAATGCAATCAACTGAAATGCCCTTTCGTTATAAAAAAACAATGATTTATGGCAATGTCATAAGGGGTTTGGAAACTTTTTATTTGGAACGGGGGTTTTTAGTTGCATCTGCGGAATTGGTAACTATTTTTAAAGAGGTTTTGTAAACTATATAGATGATATGATATGATATTATTGTAACTATGTGGTATTCTAATATTGAAAGAAACTATTTAAATATTTTGCTATTTAAGGAATTTTAAGAATTTTATTATTTGCCGTTAGAAAGTTTCATATAATTTTTATAGGAATTGAGATAATACTAATTTCAAATCGAAAGGGAATTGGAAGTTCGTTCTTCGTTTTGGGACCCTTATCACCTTCCAGCTGGAGGGCTCTTTCCGATGAACCCATTTAGAGCTCGAAACGAAAGTAGCCATCAACGGGCGACTCAAGACTCGAGGAAGTAAAAGCGCAAATAATTGCGAGCGACCAAAAACAAAAACAAAAAAATATATGCACACTCGCAGGCACCAATAGATATAGAAAATATATATATATTTATATACAAGTGTGTATATAAGGGGATATTTTAAATGTGTAATGACAAAGGCAGCGGCGGGCAACAGATGCGGCCGAAAAATATTGCCACTTAGTTGAATGTTGCTGGTTGCAGTTGCTGTTGTTGCTGCTGTTGCCGCTGCATGTTGCCAGTTGCCAGTAGTTGTTGCTGCTGCTGCTGCAACTGGTCACATGCTGGCCATGCGGCACCCGCAAGATGCAACAGCAGGAAGTCCAAACAGCAACTGTGAGGTAACCTGGCCAAGAGGGAAGAGGGTCACCAGTCGCCAGTCACCAGCCAAATGCGAATTTTCGAATTTCTTCCATACTCTAACAGGCGGTATTTCCGCTATGTAAGATAGTAAAAATATTTATCTGCATACCGCATTCAAAGATTCCTATTAATATTTAAATTAAATGAAAAAACTGAATATAAATTTTATATTAAATTGCATAATTTAAATTGAAAATATTTTAATCAAGGTGGAAAATATTACTTTAAATATTTTAATGATTTCATATAAAATTCAAAGTTAAACTGTTATATTTAAAATTAATTAATTTAAATAGAATATGAATAAACTACGTTTATTTATCAGTGTACTTACCAAAAAAATAACCTTAAATGCCCGGTAACCAAGTGAATGTTTTCTGTAATTTCTGCACCACAAAATATATTTTTTTAACCAAATTATAATTGAGATTCAATAGATAGAGTATCTCTGGTTTTGGTGCCAAAATGCCAAAGGCAGTCTTCCTTTCTGGTTTTCAACTAAGGGAGCCAGGAGTGCCGATTCCCATTCGAATCATTCCCCGATTCGAGAAAGCCAGCTTACCCGTTTTCTGGGTTTTGTTTTGTTTTCGCCTGGAGAGTCTTGAGTCTTGAGATAACCATGACTGAAGATCATCGGCTGCGATGGTGATGATGATGAGGCTGCTGGGATGCAGACGATGATGATGATGATGTCGAGGCAAAATACAAACTCAGAGAAAAGAGTGGCACAAGAAATGCAAATGAAAGCGAAATCGAGTCACGCGAAGGCCGCGCATCTCCATCTGCAACTCTTCAACTTCAAATCCATTCCCCCGAAAAACCCCTTTGGACACCGAGATGAAAACTTGATCTCTCGGGCGGCTGCAACTTCTTCAACGAGCTGCGAGGAGGGGCACTTTTATGACTCAACTTTGTAGGAAAACCAAAGCCAAAAATGAAAATAAAGAAAAGAAGAGAAGCGAAGCGAAGAGAGTTCCACTATCGGACATTGTGGCAAGTGTGTTGACATTGTTCTACTGCCACTCCGGTTGGTTGGCCCATTAAAGCAGCTCATGAATATCCCCGAGCTGCTGGGCAACCTAGAAAATCAGCTGCGACTTTCAGCGACTATTGAGTAATATGAAACGGAAATTATGTAAATACCACATGCATATTTAGCGGAATAGAAATGGAGACCCCGTATCGATGTTGAATTTGGGATGGGAATTCAAATAAATAAATTAAATGGAATGGGTTTTAAAAGTCATCTCTTTGAGTTCCTATAAAACTAAAAATGTTATTCAATGAAAAATTAATTTTTAAGGGTCTTAAGTTTTAATTATATTTTATTTTATTTGTCCAATTTTTAAAATAGTTATTTGAAAATATTTATATAATTTTTCTTAGTTTCTTCATTATAGTAATTACTATTTTTCATATTTCTGGTATTTTAAATGTTAATTTGTTTTTTAAATTCATAAAAATCATTTAATTACGAACTTTGGCCTACGATCAGGAGAAATCTCTTCCGACAAAGAAAAGGGAAATATATGGTTGAGATCCAACAACCCATTTGCAACTCATGGTGAATCTCCCTCCGATTTCCTGGCTGCCACTTGGCGATCATGAGGAAGCTTTTGCTCATTCGAACCCATTAACTTTGCCATGTTTACATTGTCGAGGGCCTCTCGAAAATCGCGCTTTTTTAACGTGTTCAAGGCTCTGAACTTTGACAAGGATCTTCAACTCCGAACCCCGGCGAGAAATGACACTTGGCAGCGCGAGAAGATCGAGATGATGATGGACTTGAGTGCGGGACTGCCCCATGTGGCAAGTGGCAAGGTTGCTCAGAGCTTCTTCTGCGATGTGAAAATGCTGCAAAACTGGAAAATCTCTCGACTTCGGCTGCTGTCCCTTTTGGCTCGGCACCTCGGCTCATTTGGGCTTTAAGATTTCTTCACTTTCGGTTTCGATTCGGATTCCGAATTCCGATTCGGTTTCGGTTTCTTCAGCTGCGGCTGCGCGGCGGCAGCGACGTCGACGCTTGGCCCGGCTATTACCTATATGAGCTGCCGTTATCATCTGAGCGGCAGCATTTTCAACTCGCGACTGACAAGCAGCGGTCGACCGTCGCCGATCCGTTGTCGAGAGATCAGAGATCTCTTAAGAAAAATATACCGAAAACCCGATTCGAACCGTTTCGTTTCGAACCGAACCGAACCGATACCGCGTTATCCGTTCCGTGAGTGTCGCGTTTTATTTATTTCTTTTTTTTTCAAAGTTTTTTACGAATCCCCCCCGGATCCTTTTGTGTGTAATCGCATCGAATCGAAATCAACTGCATTTTTTTTCGAGTGCTTTGTGCCGAGGATAAACTTAATTCGCAACGCAGCAGCTGGCATGGTAAAGAATCGTTTTCACTAATTGGACTCGAGTGCCAAGGATTACGGGAGAAAAACTCAAATATAAGCAAAAATTGGGAGGAACTTTCCGCCCAGCGAAAGTAAAAGTTACCCATTCCCTTTGGGGCAGAAAAAGTCCCTTGAAGCACTGCAAATAATTTGTGAAGTTTAATAGGTTTTTTGAGGAATTAAAATATATAATTATGAGAAAAATAGGAAAGTGAAAAATTTGATAAAAACCTTTAAAAAAATTTTAAAAAAACGATACAGATTTTTTCAAACTAGGGAATAAACCCACAAAGGAGTTAATAAATATAATTATATTTATAAAAAAAATCTATAAAAATTAGGGGAGTGAAAGCTTAGGTAAAACCCTTTAAAATAGTGTCCTTTAAAATGCGGATTGTTTTGGTCGCATCACATTGTATCCTTTTTGGGTGGTCACGCCTGCGCCTGGCCTTTTGACCTTGCCACACGACCTCTGCTAATTGATGAGGGTTGAGCCCGGAGGACTCCCAATCCAAAGCCAAATCCAAACGAAAATTGATGCAGGACCCAGATTATTCATTATGCTAGCTCCTGTCTCCAGACATAATTTATTCATTATCGAAATTGATTCATAAATAATTTCGCATTCACATTTGCCCGCTTTTGCGTGGCGACGGTGGTGGGGTAAATTTAATTAACGCAGATTACGATTCTCGACTTTTCGGGCTCAGGCAGAACGAACAGGCAGCTGTGGCCAGAAACTTGGGGCCCAGACCCCCAATCCCAATCCCAATGCCAAACCCTTTCTGGAATCCTTTCGCTTCCTGGCTGAACTTTTGCCTGCTTTTGTGCCTGTTGTTTCACATCTTCGCAGTTCGAACCGAATTTACGTCTTCTCGGCGAGAGTGAAAGTTTTGCCGGCCGCCCGTCTGTTTGTTTATTTGTTTTCTGTTTCTGCCTTTTTTATTTCTCATTTTTGCCGTTGCCTGAGTTTCATTTGTTTGCCGTCCCGTCGTCTGCCGTTCGTTGTATTGTCAATTGTTTAGCATCAATAACAAATATTTGTGGCCTATGCTAATGAACAGAAATCGAACAGCGAACGGCCAAAGAAAGCGGTGACTGAAGTCACCGGTGACAGGTGATAAATTTAGGATGCTAAAATGGGAATATTTGGTCAAGATTTGGAAACATTTCGGATATATTTTCATTTGAAAATAAAAATATTATATAAGAAAATATATAAAATATATATCTTATATAAAGAAAGCGGTGACCAGTCACCAGAGACAATTTTAGGATGTTCAGTTCATTTTCGGATTTATTTTCTTTTTTTTTTTAGGAAAAATAAATATATTATTAAAGAGATATATTATTTGGTTAACTGTACAAAGATGACTTAGTGCCTTAGTGACTCGTATATAAAGTGGTATATAAGTCGGCTAAAAAACGGAGCCACAATGGAGTTGGAGTGGAGTTGCAAGTGCTGGTCGCCACATGCGGGTCACTTCACACGGTTCAGAGCAGACAATAGACACCCCTATCCCCCCTTCACCCCCTAAACACCCCCGCCCATGCCCCTTTTAATTGTTTGCCATTTCTTTTCATAATGTATTTTCATTATGCGGCGCATAATTTCACTGCCAACACTTGTGCCTCTGCCTGTGACACCTACTCATCCCCACGAAGCAAGCGAACCAAACGAACCTCACAGATACACGGCAATATGGAGATGGAGATACACCCGGAGCCAAGTGAAAGTTACCTTTTCGGCTTTTCGGCTGTTTTCTGTGCATCTTCTTCTCCGCTTCTTCGACCGCTTATGACATTTTAACGCCGCCGCTGGCCAAAGACCAAAAAACAAAAAAACAACCGAATAACATCATACTTTGGATGCCCATTGTGATACCCACAATACTCACTATACTCATACTCGTATTCAATGCGCATCGCTGACCATTGAGGTGCACTTTTTCATTTTTCCATTACCAAAGATCGCTGATTGGCCCGCATTATGCAATCCACAGTTAATGCCATAATAACTTGGCTATTACGTTTGATTTCGAGATGATGGTTGGGTTCTTTTAGTGTCTCTGGTTTATCATTTCGGGGGTTATAAAAGAGATTTGCATAGGAGTTCGGAATTTAAGGTCAAGTGAAATTACTTAACTCAGATATTAAATTTGCTACCAAAAGAAAATATCAACTTGTTTTAAAAGAACATATTCCATACGAAAATACATACAAAAAATACAAATAATATAAAACAGAAAAAAAATTAAATAACATAAAAACAGATAAATAAATTAAAAAATACCTATAAATAAATTTAAATTCAAAATACATCCGCTAAAACATGACTTCCGAAAAACCCATGCCCAATGATTCATCGAGTGCAAAACTTACTCATCTCCGATACGATACCTTCACCTCTTACATAACTCCTCCAATCACTTTCTTATATAAGGGCATTCCAGCCTCGTCACCTTTTTGCCATTTTTATTGGCATCACCGGCTAAATCGCGTGTTGTGCGTTGAATTTTGAAAAAAAGAAGCGCCGTTTTGATTTGGTTTTCGTTTTGAGTGGCTTATTTGTTGTCTGTTTGTGTTGTTAAACATAAAACCAATTAAACCATTATTTTCGGTGCTTTTGTTTTGGCTTTCCGAGTTTTTCATTCAGCTGACACGAAGTCGCCGCTCGCCAGCTGAATTATTGATGATCTTGATGAGCGGCGACAGTCGTGATAATGATTGTGATTTTGTGTTGGTAACGATGGTGGCGAGTGAAGTCCGCTCGGGTTATGTTTTAATTAGAGCGTAATACGCCAACGTTTTCTGGGTTTTCTGTCCAGTACGCATTGCCAATTACACTGCACAACAAACTTGGCCTTAATGGGTCAATTGCGCTAACAAGATTTAGCAAATGTCTTTTTCTGTTTTTTAATTGAAGCTAAGACATTTTTTAGGTCACGCAAAAATAATAAAGATTAAACATTTATAGTTGGGATTTTTAAATGTCATATTTTAATTGAAGTTAAATAATTTCGTATTATTATTTTATGTAATAAAAATTACAACTACATTTTAAAGTGTCGACCTCTTTGACTTTCAAGATTTTACTTAATTACACATTTAATTTCTAGCAACCTTGTTGCACAGTGCAAATGGAGGTTTGCAAATTAGCGCAGATTATGGTTACCTTAGGCTTGGGGTTAGGGTGGGGCTAGAGTGACCCGCTCACACACTCATGGAAAACGACACCTGGCCAAGATGGCAAGTGAACCTTTGACCTGTGACCTCTGACAAGCCTTGACAAGTTGCCGTCGGCCAAAAAGGTCACCGAGACAGGTGACAAATGAGACGCGGCTCAAGGGGGTAACCCCCTTTAGGGGTAAGGGGGGCAAAAGGGGTTGAGGGCGGAGATGGATGGAAACTAGAGACACTTTGTGCGGATGCCACTCAATGAACATTACGATGTCGGTTAGCCGACTAACCCTTCATATTACAACTCTTTCTGCTGCAATCATTTGTTATATTTTTCAGAAAGAGATATTAGCTAACTTCAACTAGCTGAAGTTGAAATGCTCTTGACTGTGGCATTTAAAATATCATTATTATTTCTAGGGAAATATAAACATTCAGATCGACTGCTTGCTCTCCAATATTTCCTCATAACTTTTTAATGAACAGTTCGATTTTAAAATTTTCTTTTACATTACGATAGGTATTAATATACACAAAAAAATGGCATTTAGTATCTTTTTTCAAGGTCTTTATATGGTTTTTAAACCATAGAAAACCCTATAATACCTTTTATAAACAGGAGAGTATACTTTTGGTGTCACATTTTATTGTTTTTTTTCTCTTAAACGATAAACAATATTTTTTACCCTTCGCTAACTTGATTTTCTGAGTTGTGTTCTGTTTTGGGTTCCCCGAAGGAGATTAACTTCCGGTCCAATCGCTCGGGGCCAGCTCTTTTCCTATTTTCCCATTTTCCCAGTAGCTAGTTGATAGATATCTTGACAAATGACTGACCCACATTCATTGCCCATTCCAGATGCTGCTCCGCCTGACTTTGGTGGCCGCCTGCTGCCTTTGTGCCGCCCAAGCGGTGCTCCACGGCTCCAAGGATGTGAAGCGTCGCGAGGCGGGCTTCGATACTTATGGTCCGCCTCCTCGTCCTGCCCCCCAGTATGGTCCTCCGCCCCAGCAGCATGTGCCTCATCGGGAGTACGGAGTGCCGCAGCAGATTCCCTTCCGCGAATACGGACCTCCGGCCTTGAAGTACGGCCCTCCCAAGCTTAACTTTTTGGGTGGAGGAGGAGGAGGCGGTGGAGGAGGTGGTTCCTCCCTGCACGAGCAGATCAAGACGCACTTTGGAGTGCCCAAACCCTTCTACGGACCACCTCACATCCAGCACAAGCCGGCGCCTCAATATGGTCCACCTCCTAAGCCAGCTCCTCAATATGGTCCACCACCACAGCAATATGGTCCACCACCACCCAAGCCAGCTCCTCAATATGGTCCACCACCCCCGCAGTATGGTCCACCACCAGTGAAGATCCAGCACCGCCCGGCTCCTCAGTACGGACCACCACCTCAGCAGTACGGACCTCCACCACCACCACCACAACTGCTGCCCTCGCCCCACAGCGCCCCACTCTTCAAGCCCGCCCACCAGCCGGCCACCTCGTACGGACCACCCGCCTCCGGGCCACTCAACCTGCCGCCCAAGCAGATCTTCGATGCCCCGCCACCCAACTACGGACCGCCACCACTGCCGGTGGCTCTGCCGGGCAACGGGGGACCACCACAGAGCACCACGATTATCCTGACCGGAGGTCATCCAAGTGGTCCTAGTGGACCCAGTGGTCCGGGACCCGTGAAGCAGGTGCAGATCCAGATCGACTCCTCCGGGCACACGCATAGTGTGAGCGGCTCCCAGGCGCCCTTCCACACGGCCTGCGATGGCTGGAAACCGATCCCGGCGCCCATCGGTGCCTATGTGGAGCAGAACCACATCGAGACCCAGGGCGGCTACAGCCAGGTGGGACATGGCGGCGGCTCCTTTGGCACCCAGTACAGCGGAGTGGGAGGAAGTGCCAGTGGAAGTGCAAGTGGAAGTGGCTCCCTGATCGAGGGACTCTCCGATGAGCAGCTGGTGGCAGTGGCTCTGCAGGGAGGCGGCGATGGAGCCCATGTGATCACCGGACCCGGAGGAGGCAACTCCATCGAGGCGGAAGCTCTTCAGGTGAGTCGGGGCTAGCTAACCCCCGGTTAAGTTGTGATTAACCTTCGCTTAAGCTTTCCAACCTTCTTTTGACCTTTTGTTAACCTCTCAAATCATCTGTTAACCTTCCTTTAATATTCCTTATACCTTCCTTTAACCCCCGGTTAACCTATGATTAACCTTCGTTTAAAATTTTTCAACCTTCCCTTAACCTTTTGTTAACCTCTCCTTCTTTTAACCTTCTTTTAACCTTGTGTAATTTTAAAGGCCGCCATTGGTTCGTTGGATGATTCGTACTCGAAGCCACCGTCGGATTCCTTTGCTCCCGGTTCGGTTCACGCGCAGAAGTACCAGACTATCGGTGGACATTCGGGAGGCTCAAGTGGAGGAAACTATGGACCACCACCACCACCTCCTAGTGGAAACTACGGACCTCCACCACCCAGTGGAAACTACGGACCTCCACCACCACCGCCCAGTGGAAACTATGGACCACCACCACCTCCCAGTGGAAACTACGGACCTCCGCCAAGTGGCAACTATGGACCTCCGCCAAGTGGAAACTTTGGACCACCACCGCCACCTCCGCAGTTTGCCGCCCTCACCAGCAGCCATTCGAACTCGCACTCGTCCCACTCGCAGTCGCAGTCGAATGTGAACATCCAGTACGGTCCTCCCTCCGGGAATCCCCAGCCCTTCCCGCAGCACGGAGCCGGTCAGCCCAACAAGCCGGTGGCCTATCGTCCACCTGTTCCAGCCGGTCTTTTAGAGTCCATTGGCGCCACCGTTCAGCATCTGGATCAGTTTGGAGTGAAGCCCCAGCAGCAGCCAGCCACCTATATTCCACCAGCAGCCAATGAGATTCCGCTGACGGGTTCTTCCATCCCCTCGCTTCCTGTTCCCCAGGCTCTCTATCAGCCGCCTCCGCCGCCGCCTCAGTCTGCACCCCAGGTGATCCTGCAGCAGCAGCTGCCTGCTCCTCAGCCAGGACCCAACTTCATTCACCAGCAGCAGCAGCCGAAGCAGCAGTATCTGCCTCCTCCGCCGGTGGCCAATGTGCGACCCCTGGGACCTCCGCCACCTCAGCCACCCACGCAGCAGTATTTGCCCGCCCTGGGACCACCTCAGTCATCCTACTTCCAGCAGCAGCAGTCGCAGCACTCGGAGAACAGCTACAGTGCCTCGCAGTTCCACTCGCAGGGTTTGCCCTTGCCTCAGCAGGCGCCCCGCTTCAATCTGCAACAGCAGCAGGTGCAACAGCAGGTGCAGCAACCCCAGCCCATCATAGTTCACGACTGCGGACATGGACCCAATCTCCTGAGCAGCAATGGCTACCAGGTGCAACAGCAGCAGCAGTTCCAGAACTTTGGCAGCATCTCGGCCGCCTCCTCGGGCGCCTACAACGCCATCTCGCAGAGCATCCCGGTGGCCGAGCAGCACACCCAGCAACTGGTCACCGGACCCTCGGACAGCTACGGACCACCGCCCTCCGGAAACGATCTGGACTACGATCACACGGGCTATGCCTCGCAGAAGAACGCGGTGGCCGCCCTGCCCGATGGCACCGATCCCCAGCAGCTGCCCGGTTTGGATGGCCTTGATGTGCTGTCCGCCCAAAAGTCGCAGAGCATTCAGCTGAATGGCCAGCAGCCGCAGCAAAACTTCCAGGTGCAGTTCGGCGGTTCGCTGAACAATTCGCCGGGCGTCGCCTCCGGGGATGCCAATCACGAGGAGATCCTCTCGCAGGGTCTGCTGCAGTCCATCTTGACGGCCATCGAGCAGCCCAACGGACAGCAGAATTTGCCCCAGAACCACAAGGCCCAGAGTCGCTCCGATGAGCACGCTAAGGATCACGACCTCGATCAGGATCAGGATCAGGAGCTGGCCAATGAAGAGGACAGCGAGCAGACCTCCAGCTCCTCCAATCGCGTCGAGGTGAGGGTGCTGCCCGAGCATAACGAGAACGAGGAGGAGACCCCCGCCGAGGTCAAGGAGATCGAACCGATCGTGGTCAAGGAGGAGGAGGCCAGGCATTAGTCATCAGTCACTAGTTACTAGTTAATGACTTTGATGTGACTAGTTATTAGCTACTAGTTACTCGTCACTCGTTACTGGTTACTTGTTACTAATTACTAGTTACTCGTCACTTGTTACTAGTTACTCGTTACTCGTTACTAGCTACTAGTCACATCAAAGTTAGCATCATCAGCGCCGCTTGAACCTATTTATTGCTGCCTCATCATCATCTAAGAGCTGGGAGTCGTCTGTCCCCCAGTTGCCATAAAGAGAAAGTAAAAGGGGACAGGAGGGGATTCGAAAAAAATACACAAAGAGAAAAAAGAAGCTACAAAACACGCGGAGTCGATCGCCGCGTGCAAAAAGTGCCTTTTCATGCTCGCAGCTCGTGTATAAAAATTATTTAAAATAAATAATTAATTTATTATAGCATTGTATTGTATTTTATGCCTTAAACAAACAAATAAATATGTATGTAAACAGAAAAACACTCGAAGAGGAAAGCTGCAAGTCATCTCAAGTCGCTGAAGTTGGCGAGCTAAAAGTCAATGGCATGCAAAAAGGCATAAAAACTGCATGATGTCGGGCCTTTCAGCTTTTAGCCGACAAACAAACTTAAGTGATATGCAAATTTTGTATTTATCTCATTAAACCAGCTTTATATGTACCTATATATTACTTTTTACATTTTGTTGTTAAATGTTAAACCCTTTTCCAATTATTTTCAATTATTTTATTGCCTTTTTCTCTTATCACCAAAGAGGTTAATTAATAATTTTTCGACTTTTCAGAGCCAGAGTTCAAGTTTTCTCACGCTCAATTCCGATTCCTTTGCCAATTTCAATTTAATTTCAATTCCACGACATCCGCATCCGTATCCGCCTCCACATCCGCAAAGCAATGGACCGCCCAAAGAGCAACAAGAAACAATAAAAGACATAAAATTAATTAAATTAGCCATAAACAAAGCGAAAGGTGATTAATTAACTAGAAATTTATACCGTTATATAACCGAGGGAAAAGGCATGAAAGACGTGCCACGGTTTCCAAGGGATGAGTTCCATTCCGCCGAAAAGGGTGCTTCAATGGGAGGTTGGATGGGCTGGCTGGGTGGGTAGGTGCTGAAGCTCGCCGCTTTATTTACCCATTCATTAATATTTGGCCATAGCCTGGACTTGCCTTGCTACTGATTTCGCTGTTTGCTGTTCACCTGCACTGAGCGAAAAACGAAACAATTCAAGTGCTTACTAAATGGTTTATGCTTAGAGAATGTCACCGAAAAATTTTAATAAACAATTAATAAACTTTTACGTAAAATTTAAACTCATTTTTCCATCCTAAAATATAAGTTTTTTTCCGAAATAAAGGAATTAATAGCCCAAAAATGGAGTGTCATACCTTTTTGAACTCGTAGCTGTAGAATTGGAAACGGAGTTGTAGAATTGGAAGTGGAGCTGTAAATATAGTTGTAGAATTGGAAATGGAGTTGTAGAATTGAAATTGGAGTTGTAGAATTGGAAGTGGAGTTGTAAATGGAGCTGTAGAATTGAAAGTGGAGTTGTAGAATTGTAAGTGGAGTTGTAAATGGAGCTGTAGAATTGGAAGTGGAGTTGTAAAATTGGAAGTGGAGTTGTAGAATTGGAAGTGAAGTTGTAAAAGCAGTTGAAGAATTGGAAATGGAGTTGTAGAATTGTAAGTGGAGTTGTAGAATTGTAAGTGGAGTTGTAAATGGAGCTGTAGAATTGGAAGTGGAGTTGTAAAATTGGAAGTGGAGCTGTAGAATTGGAAGTGGAGTTGAAAAATTGGAAGTGGAGTTGTAGAATTGGAAGTGAAGTTGTAAAAGCAGTTGAAGAATTGGAAATGGAGTTGTAGAATTGTAAGTGGAGTTGTAGAATTGTAATTGGAGTTGTAAATGGAGCTGTAGAATTGGAAGTGGAGTTGTAAAATTGGAAGTGGAGTTGTAGCATTGGAAGTGAAGTTGTAAAAGCAGTTGAAGAATTGGAAATGGAGTTGTAGAATTGGAAATGGAGTTGTAGAATTGGAAGTGGAGTTGTAAATATAGTTGTAGAATTGGAAATGGAGTTGTAGAATTGTAAGTGAAGTTGTAGAATTGTAAGTGGAGTTGTAAATGGAGCTGTAGAATTGGAAGTGGAGTTGAAAAATTGGAAGTGGAGTTGTAGAATTGGAAGTGGAGTTGCAGAATTGGAAAGGGAGTAACTCTACTTCCAATTCTACAACTCCATTTCCAATTCTACAACTCCATTTACAACTCCACTTACAATTCTACAACTCCACTTACAATTCTACAACTCCATTTCCAATTCTACAACTATATTTACAACTCCACTTCCAATTCTACAACTCCATTTCCAATTCTTCAACTGCTTTTACAACTTCACTTCCAATTCTACAACTCCACTTCCAATTTTACAACTCCACTTCCAATTCTACAGCTCCATTTACAACTCCACTTACAATTCTACAACTCCATTTCCAATTCTACAACTATATTTACAACTCCACTTACAATTCTACAACTCAATTTCCAATTCTTCAACTCCTTTTACAACTCCACTTCCAATTCTACAACTCCACTTCCAATTCTACAACTATATTTACAACTCCACTTCCAATTCTACAACTCCATTTCCAATTCTACAACTCCATTTCCAATTCTACGACTATATTTACAACTCCACTTCCAATTCTACAACTATATTTACAACTCCACTTCCAATTCTACAACTCCACTTTCAATTCTACAACTTCATTTCCAATTCTACAACTATATTTACAACTCCACTTCCAATTCTACAACTCCACTTCCAATTCTACAACTCCACTTCCAATTCTGCAACTCCACTTTCAATTCCACAACTTCATTTGATGCAAGCTTGCGAACCCACGCAGTTTTTCAGCCGTAATTTGGACAAATCAAGGCCGAGAGCTAAGCGACCGACTGATTTGAACAGCTAACAACCTAAACTAACGATCCCCATCACATTTGGAAAAATACAAATTTACAAAAACTTTCGAAATTTTAATAAGGGGTTACATCATGATTTTTTGCAAAAAATTACAACAAATTAAAATGTCTAGATTTGAACGCAAATCGGCTATTATTTCCTTTATTTCGGCAAAAAAAACTGATATTTTAATTATTAATTTTTCTCAGTGCAAGCTCAGACTTCTGCTTCATTTTTGCCCCATTTGCGTTTCACGTAGCCGCTACCTTTGTTTGCCGAGGCGTCGAAGGGAACGGCGGAAGGCTCTTCGGACGGACAAATGGACGGACAGAACGGACAGACCGAGGCCAATGGGTAGTTCATGGACAGAAAAGGCGGGAAAGGGAAAAAAAGGGCAGGGCAGGGGGATGGGCCGCTGGCAGCGCTTTCATTCAGTTTGCGCACTTTTAATTAATGTTATTAAAAAGTCAAAATGAGCAGCACCTACAACGGCTGTGAGGCGGTGGGTGGTGTGGATGGTCCTATATTTTTCGGAGAATAGCAAGGGCAATTGCATGCAATTCTTGCGAATAAAGTATTCCAGATGGAGGGTAAGATTTGGATTTAAAAAATTGTAATTATCTAGCAGTCGAAAATGTTGTGAGGTCCTTTATATTTTTAATTTATAAAAGTTCGAACCCAGAGTTTCCCAATTTCTTAAATATCCCACAAATTAATTCGAGTGTCCATCGCCCGAATAATTCTTATTAAACCATCGGCAAGGCTCCTACAAAATACTTTGAATGGAAATTCACAGGGACCCGAGTGGACAAGTTGTTGCACGTATTTTTGCTGTGGCTTCGCTCGATTCTCACTTATTTCCATTAACTTTCGCAATTTGACTTTCGCCATTCGCCATCGCCATTCGTTGAAGCCACTGCCTGATCGGCTGCCAATTGTGTAAATTTGTCATTTCAGTCAGCGAAAAACGCGAAAAATGTAATTTGCAGCAACAATTGGGGGAAAGTGGTATTTTGATTAATCGTCGATTTGCATGCGAATGCGGAAATCCAACAAAAATCCAACAGCCAAGAAAATCAATCCGTATAAAATGAATACGTTGAACGTGAAAGCAATTTTTGTATGCTCTGTAAATTTTTAACAAGTTTTATATAGTCTTTGAAAAGTGTAAAATAAATAAATTTAATAATTATTATACAATAAGGAAAAATTATTAAAAATATTGTTCATATGTTTTTTATTTATTTTATTATTATTTTGCAAATAAATTTAATTAAATATGCTTTGAAGGGCAAATAGAATTCTTTTTTATAACTACCCGTAGCTTTAGAGTATAACAACGACTTCCTGCAACATAAAACTATGGAGAGTTGGGGAACCAGACCGAGCGAGTGGTAAAATAAAAATAAGAGTACAAATAAAAATAAAAACAAAAAGAACAACAGCAGGCATAAAAGGAAAGAGTGCTGAAAATGGTGTTGATTTTTCAGCATTTTATTGTACCGTTTTTTGCCCTCTCTCATTCAGTGGATTCTTATATGCCATGCGGTGTTTTTGAAGGGGCGGCCGTTCTGTTTACATGGCGTATACGTAATACGCATTACGTATACGCATCTCGAATATGAACAGTAGTTGGAAAATGCGGGTTTCAGGCAGCGGGCAACGGATTGCGATGTGTTGTTGGTCCTGCACTTAGGTATTTGCCCAGTGCCAATGCATTGGCCTTTTTTACGTCTATCTGCAAGCCGCGGATCGGTTTCTTGGCCACTTTTTTTCGGCGGTCCCAAGCAATCGGGCAAATGGTCCGCCTACTTTGGCGAATGCTGGTGTTTGTTTGCTCTGGTCACGCAGAAACGGGGCGACCCTAATTACAGTTAATTGGTACCCGCTGTGTGGGGGGGGGGTTCGCCTTTTCAATGGACGGTGGGCAAGGCTTTCCCGGCTGATGGGCCAAAGCTTATACGCACTGCGCGACAGGGCAAAAATACACAATTTTCCACTTTGTACTAATCAAGAACTCATTATCCTTCATTATGCTTTTCAAGTTGCCGTGTTGGCGTCGTCCTTCCGCCTTTCCCCATCCCCCCACCCCTCTCCTTCGCCACCATCCTAATGTCGTCGGCGCAGCTGCAATTGCAATGCGGAGACGTGAACCTTGTACCCACACAGAAAAAACTAATCAGCGCAATCGGATCAGTTATTTAATACGCAGGGTATCTACAAAAAGCAATGAGTTGCGGTTAAAAAGTGGTGGTGGTATACATTTTTAAAAGGACCTTTAAAGAGAATGATTTTAATTTAATATTTTATTGAAAACTTGGCATTCTGGCATTTTATTTTTTGGCCATTTTTTGCAAAAAATCGTGATTATCAAAATTGCGAAAATTGGTGAGCAGAATCATTTTTCCAAATCAGCCAGGAAAGTGTTAGATATTCTTTCATTAGGTTGTTAGCTGCCCAGAAATGTGCGTCTTTTGCATTTGAGACAATTTTTGGCCAAGTTACAGCTAAAAAGCTCGAATTTTTAGTTAATTTTCTAACAGTGCACTTTCGCTCCACGGGAACCATCATTCATGTGGTCGGTCACTCTGGTTTGGCTTGGTTTGTTCTGCTTTGCTTGGCGAATGGCGAACGGGAGCCCGCAACTGCTGAGCTTAAATTATGCACAATTTTATAAATGCCACGGCAAATGTCGACACAA